ATTTTTCCGATCGCTGTTTGATTTCGTTACTATGGTAACAACGTTCCGATTTATTGCCAAGTGACAGTTAGTTGATTTTTAATTTGTTATTTATGTCAAACTTGTTTTCACAAATTTAAAAATATGGATTCAGATTTTAAATTATCTGACAGAGAAAATGAAATTCCAGAAAAAAATTTGGAAGCAGCAAAAATGTACATTTAACATAAATATTCAAACATAATGTATTTGGTTAGTTAATGCAGTTGTATCCATTATTTAGTTTTAGTATTTGTTAGTCACTTTATTAAATTAAATAAATAATTGAGTTTACATAGAAGTGTCGGTTTAAAAAAAAATATTGTACGTCACGTGACCGAAAAATAGTGTTAAGCAGGTCTCTCCAAGCTTCTAGTTCTCGCCTACGGCTCACCATGGAATCTGCTTGCCTCGACCTAAAAAACACTACTTTCCGGTCTTGTAAAGTAAATTACTATTACCGGTCCCTAGCGTCTACTTTCCGGTCTTGATCAGCAAAACGTTATTTTCTGGACGAACAATTGTTCAGAAAGTGTATACTTTCTGGTCGGTCTTAAAAAAGGCATTTACAAATACAGACTTTAACTTATTTGGAAGTCTGTATATGCCTCATAACAATTTTGTCAAATTTATTACATCTATGGAAATACTTTTTCAGGAGCATTTTGAAAATTTGTGTACACAAGAAAATGTAAAAAATTAGTAACTTTATTTCAATTATTAAAATTTGAACATCAGTACAACAATTTTAATTATAACTATATACATAATTTATAAAATAGAATAGAACATTAATAATATGACGACATGTTTAAAAAAATATATACTTTAATAATTAAATTAAGTTGCGAATTGAAAAACTTTTATGTATTTTTCTTTACACATTTATTGGCCATCCTCAATTATATCAAATTAGGAAATTTACAAAAAAAAAACAAAAAAAAATAAAACATTTAAAAAATCGTATTTGTTCACCATACTATTACAGTATATTGCTATGGCGCTAATATATTAAATAGTATATTTAAAGTAACCTTATGCGATCATGAAAAAATACTTCAATATTTTAACTATAGCAAAACAATTTTTGACATGCTCAGATTCTTAATTTAAAACGCAAGAACTTGTTAAACACGGGCCTGTTTATTTACAAGAAAGTTGTCCACCGTCCGAAGCCACAGAATATGGATCCGAATCCACGAAACTGGCTGAATTAGATCAAAGTTCCGCCGCTTGAGTGATTCTGCTGGTATACCTATGCTGTGGTAGAATAAAGGGAAACGACTCTAGATAGTGACTAGACCACGACCCGTACATGTCACCTAGTCGAAGAGAAAAGGGTAAATTAGAAACGAAGGAGGAAAAAAAAAGGAGGAGAAAAAACTCTTCACATCATTTATAACTCTTTCATTTTTTCATATTTTAGTTTACGTAACGGAATACAAAACATGTTAAAATTCTAGAAATATATACTCGTATGGATTTTTAAACCGATCGGCAGCGATCATTTTAGCCATTTTTTCCCAAGAATTGGATCTGCAATACGACTTGCGACAATAAATTTTCAACCCGTCGCTATTTTCACAATTGTAAAAAAATTTCAACAGCTAATAGAAAGAACATTAGTGCGCAGAGGTAGAATAGTAGTTTCCGAAATTTTACTTGCAAGCAACTAACTGTAAAGTGGTTCGTAGAGCGTAGATGGACCGAATGTGCGGTTAACAATAGCAGCTTGTTGCTAGATTGCCCAAATTCGACAGTGATTGCATAGTGCAGTCGACAGCAATCGCAATTGCGATCCGTCTATTTCCGCTCTCAGACTTTAATCCTGCAAATCTATTGAACGATGTATGTGGGGCTTAATGAAAATATATATAAACTTCGTAGATGTGCCTAGTTCATAGCACGCCATCTGGGCGATAGCGGATGCATCAATGTTCCAAAAATTGATAGCTCATTAAACATGAAAAGATCTTCAAGAAACCGTCTATAAGAAAATACGCGTGTATTGTTAATTTAGAGCCGTCATTTTAACGTTCACAGCTGACTCTTCTTACATTCAGTTTTGTCATGTTTATATAAAAAATATTCATATTTATATCCTGCCCATTAGAATTAAATATTGTTTGAAACCAACGATGAACAACTACTAGACCAATTTTATTTACAAAAGGCGAATTGCAAGCATTCACGTTGTTAACCATCATCAGTTGTCAAATTAATACGGGATAGTATATGTACAAGTATTGTTTGTCGTTATAATTCAGAATTTATTTAACAAAAGCTTTAAACGCACACAATGCTGTCAATATTACAATAAGGGAGTGTATTTGCATTATTAATGCCAGTTATTATCAGTTTAATGTATTTTTCTGGTTATAACTATTGTAGTTGAAGGTGATTTCTAGGAAAGTACGCCATTTGTTTTGCAGTGTAAGCAAGCGTCGTAGTTCCAAGTTCTGGTTCATTCATAAAACGCGTGCTCTGTATTAACATAAAACACGAATTTCAAGTAAACAAATGCTTATTTATGAATAAAAGGATTCGTTTAGTAGTTTTTCGTCGTTGTTTGAAACTAATATTAATTCAATTTTAGTAAATACAGTGCATGTTAATGTTAAATTAAATTTACAGATTCTGGTTAAAAACAATTTTAACCCTATCGTGCATCAGTTGAACTTGGGATTGAATTAAATGTAAATAAAACAATTTGATACAATGATTAAGTCAAAGCAGCGTTTATGAATATAAGTAAAGAGTAAGAAATAGAAGATATATTTACAAGTAACATGCTTCTAACGGATGAATCATGCAAATAATAAGATACAACATGCAAATACATATACATAATTATTTTTCATTTTATTTTTGGTTTTATAATCGTATGAGAAATGAAAAAGTGACCAGTAGGAAAAGTCATCAAATGACCAACATTTTGTTTGGTTACGGGCAGTAAGTCTTTGAAAGCTTTATAAAGAAAAAAACTTCTAAAAGAATGGTAAATCTATAATTAGGTAATTAAACTGACGTAGTTTAGCGATTAAAAACTTGATTGAGAAAGGTTTTATTTGATTAATCAGCCATTTTTAAAATAGAGTAGCAGAAGCTCACTATTTCAATTCGAAATAATAGTAAAAGCTGTCAGCATGCTAATACAATTAAAATTTGTTAATCGATATTTTACAATTTCTATTATTATATGTTCCCAATTCTTCAATGTGCAAAACGGATGCATTTTTTGTCCTATAAAAGTAAATACGTCAATAGTTTAAACCACGTATGCAGGTTTTCAAAATCAAAAAGCAAAATAAAAATTAAACATATAAAGAAGTTTTGTAAATCTTTGTTGAATAACATGAATAAATTGTTTTAATAAAATTACGTGTGCCATGAAACGTCAAACATTAAATAATTATCTAGAAGAGAGCTGTCATTTTAATTTATAAACTATAAAAACTAATTAAAAATAGATAGCCACAGAAAAAGTATAGTGTCGCAAAGAACGTTCAATTCTGAAGAGTAAGCAGCATTCCCATAAGAAATGAGTACCATTTCTGGCTAATTAAATGGTTGAAATGGTTTGGACATTTTAAAAAGGAAGAAAATAATTATATGGAAAATTTAGCAAGAAAAGTTATTAGGGTGTGACAAAAAGAATAGTGCATACAAAAAATCAAAGAAAATTATTCATGTTGTCAAAAAAACTAAAATGTTGCCCAATGTAACTAAAAAATACTGAAACCATTAAAAATTTAGAAATATATTTGAAACCACTAATTTAAAAAACTTCTCTATGAGACCAAGTAATATCAAAAGTCAATAGTGATTTTAATATTTTACATTAACTTGTATTTAAAAAACCATATTATTAATCGAGATATTGACAGCTGACAAGATGGCAAAAAATAAAGCTATTAAAAATGAAATCGAATTTTATACGACTTTGTCAGAGAATTTATCATTCTAAAAATATCTAACTACTGATACCACGAAATACTAAACAATCAGAAGGGTCATTTAGGTCAGCCTTTCAGAGTTGTCACGTCACAGCTGTCAACTGTCACATGCGGAGGGAAATATGAGATTTTACCATATTTGCTATTATTAAAGGTATAATCAATTAACCACCCTTAACCCTAGAACGGTATCGTACGTAAACTCTATGTATGGTTTGTAGCAAAATAACCTTTTCCACTAATTATTTTAAATTATGAACTTAAGCTTCAAGCAGTTCCTCAGGCAACATCCACTTGTGAAGATTTGTAGGTATCAGTATTGCAACGAGGTAACAAATGGACATATGGCTTGTTTTTGAAAAGTCTACACGTAAAAATTACACATTGATACTAATTAGTAGTTATATGTTATGACGTGTCACCAAGCTTCGCTTATTTATCGGTGAATTGGCCCTATTTGTCTTTACAATATGATAAACATGCTTGTATCAATTCATATATAATTTACTAACATAATTTTCAAGCATCAGGTGGTAAACCTTAAACCCTAAAGTTTTACTCATCACAACGTCAATTGAGAAATATTGCAAATTTCTATAAGGTCAGCCACTAATAGTGACAACGTAATTAGAGTTAAATAAATACCATGCTAAAATAAGTCTTATTGCAAACCGGAAGTTTTGACATTAGAGACTTTGTCCTTATACATATTTCTAACCTCATTAAATAACTTTTATATTAAAGTTCATCTTTTTTATTGTCTATAATAGTACATAATATGGAAGAGGCATTATAAATTACCATATTAGAAGGTTTAGATGACGACGATATTAATATTTAATATTAAAAAACTTCGACCTGAGCGAATATCGGCGAGTGCATCCGAAAGCTATAAAGTCGCCACTATTTGCTGCCTTAAAAATCCACAATTAAGGGACAGGTAGAATCTGTAATAAATTCTGTAATAAGTTCAGTTCTGGAACGTAAACGATCTGCGCATGCTCAGATGTTAAAATAAGAGAGGCGCTAATAGCGAACTGGCAAAATATCTCTAACAGGAAATTTGAGTACTAAAGGCAATAATAAGAACAGTATTAAATGAGCCTTATCCACAGCAAAAGACTAGATTGAAAAGGGACAATGGAAATATTGCCACCTTTGTCCTACATCAAATAAAATAATGAAAAGTACCTATTGCTTAAAATGCAACAAACCAGTAAGTGGAGAACCAAATAAAAATATGCCAGGGTTACAAGGAAGATTTTCATAAAAATATGGGTTATACCCATTGTAACGAAATTTTCTTTGCACGTCATCAATGATAAAACTTGTTTATCAAATTGAACTAATAAATCATTGCTGTAAAGGTACGTTTACATCTGGCATTTATTGCATGAGATTTATGTCTGACAGTTGTTTAGTCCAGTGTAAACACAAAAATTTCTGTCAGACATATATGTATGAGTGTTCGACAATATGTATCGACACTTATTTTAGAACTAATGTAAACACTTAAGGCGATTTTAAATCAGATACTATGTCTTAAATATGAATGACTATACTAATATAAATCAAAAACAATGACGTCATATTGAATATTGTCTTGAAATGGTCAAGTTTAACTTGAGGCAATTTTAAATCAGTTACTAGAAATGTGACCAACTCAAGTATGGCCAAGGTTCTAACGTCATTATAATGACATTCTATTAATATGATTTAAAAATGTTTAGTTTATATTGACATTAACATGAAATTGTCAGATATCGTGAATTTTTGTTTGTAGTTAGGATTTGGTTTTGAATTTGTAGGGATAAAAAATTAATAGTTGTTTTGTGTACTGATCATGGATAAAGAGAAAATTGGTGTTGTAGTTGCTTTGGCCTCTGAAATTTTATCAAACCTTTAGCCATGTTCATTAATATATCTTGTCTAGCTTGAAAATTAATTGGTTTTTCATTTACAAAAACCTTAAATACGTCCATATCTAGGTACTCAGCTAGGGTTGCCAGACGTCTCGCTTTAGGCTTAATTGTCCCGCTTTTTAACTTGCTGGCACGCGTTACGCCAAAGTACAAAAATGCCCCGCATCCCACCTAAATGCTACCTATGATTTTTAAAAAATCTATGAAAATAATGAAAATCTATGAAAATCTATGAAAATCTATGAAAATCTATGAAAATCTATGAAAATCTATGAAAATCTATGAAAATCTATGAAAATCTATGAAAATCTATGAAAATCTATGAAAATCTATGAAAATCTATGAAAATCTATGAAAATCTATGAAAATCTATGAAAATCTATGAAAATCTATGAAAATCTATGAAAATCTATGAAAATCTATGAAAATCTATGAAAATCTATGAAAATCTATGAAAATCTATGAAAATCTATGAAAATCTATGAAAATCTATGAAAATCTATGAAAATCTATGAAAATCTATGAAAATCTATGAAAATCTATGAAAATCTATGAAAATCTATGAAAATCTATGAAAATCTATGAAAATCTATGAAAATCTATGAAAATCTATGAAAATCTATGAAAATCTATGAAAATCTATGAAAATCTATGAAAATCTATGAAAATCTATGAAAATCTATGAAAATCTATGAAAATCTATGAAAATCTATGAAAATCTATGAAAATCTATGAAAATCTATGAAAATCTATGAAAATCTATGAAAATCTATGAAAATCTATGAAAATCTATGAAAATCTATGAAAATCTATGAAAATCTATGAAAATCTATGAAAATCTATGAAAATCTATGAAAATCTATGAAAATCTATGAAAATCTATGAAAATCTATGAAAATCTATGAAAATCTATGAAAATCTATGAAAATCTATGAAAATCTATGAAAATCTATGAAAATCTATGAAAATCTATGAAAATCTATGAAAATCTATGAAAATCTATGAAAATCTATGAAAATCTATGAAAATCTATGAAAATCTATGAAAATCTATGAAAATCTATGAAAATGTATGAAAATCTATGAAAATCTATGAAAATCTATGAAAATCTATGAAAATCTACGAAAATCTACGAAAATCTACGAAAATCTACGAAAATCTACGAAAATCTACGAAAATCTACGAAAATCTACGAAAATCTACGAAAATCTACGAAAATCTACGAAAATCTACGAAAATCTACGAAAATCTACGAAAATCTACGAAAATCTACGAAAATCTACGAAAATCTACGAAAATCTACGAAAATCTACGAAAATCTACGAAAATCTACGAAAATCTACGAAAATCTACGAAAATCTACGAAAATCTATGAAAATCTATGAAAATCTATGAAAATCTATGAAAATCTATGAAAATCTATGAAAATCTATGAAAATCTATGAAAATCTATGAAAATCTATGAAAATCTATGAAAATCTATGAAAATCTATGAAAATCTATGAAAATCTATGAAAATCTATGAAAATCTATGAAAATCTATGAAAATCTATGAAAATCTATGAAAATCTATGAAAATCTATGAAAATCTATGAAAATCTATGAAAATCTATGAAAATCTATGAAAATCTATGAAAATCTATGAAAATCTATGAAAATCTATGAAAATCTATGAAAATCTATGAAAATCTATGAAAATCTATGAAAATCTATGAAAATCTATGAAAATCTATGAAAATCTATGAAAATCTATGAAAATCTATGAAAATCTATGAAAATCTATGAAAATCTATGAAAATCTATGAAAATCTATGAAAATCTATGAAAATCTATGAAAATCTATGAAAAATCTATGAAAATCTATGAAAATTCTATGAAAATTCTATGAAAATTCTATAAAATCTATAAAAATTTATAAAAATCTATAAAATCTATAAAAATCCATAAAAACCCGTCATGTCATATTTAAAAACAAGTCATTAATTAATTTATATTCTCATAAAAAAAAGATACTGTACGTAAATGTAAAATGTGTAAATGCGTAAATTTTACATGAAGATACCAACAAGAGGTAGAAATTAAATGATACCGTTCTAGGGTTAAGACTAGGAACCTTTGCTACAAAAAGTGTAGGATAAATTAGAAAAATATAATGATTTTCCTTTTATACAAATAAACAAAGACTGTAAAAAGTTAGCTCTATCATGCATCAAAGTCTACTGAATATGGAGAATAGTTTCAGGATTTTGTACTAAATATATCCTTTCTGATTATTAAGCCTTTTATACTACTACATACATACCCGTAAACCTTTACAGATGACCCGCAACTAACGTAAATGTCAATACAAAAAACTGTCAAATAATCTGAAAAATAATTCTTAATTTCTCTATAGAATGATTTTTAGATATGTTTTGTAATCACCTCTATAAAATGATAGTTTGGTTTAAGAATTTTAACAGTTCTCATTTGTTGATGCATGTAAGTAAACATAGATGAATGTACAGTTAAATTAATACACATTCTAATTAATGGGAACTGTACAATATTTCTAAACCCCCATTAGCCTTATAGGTGTGTGACAAAGTCCCGAATTTTTCTCAGTGCCAACACAGAAGTTAACCAATCACAATTGACACATTCACAAAAAAAAAATAAGAGCAAAATAACTCAAAATACTAATAAACCATAAATTTAACAAGTTATGCTACAAAAATTGTAAAAGCAATTAAAACATGAAGCAATTTAAAAACTAAAGATGACGTGCAAAAAAAAGTTTGTACATTTCATCTGTAAATGTAATTTTGTGAATGATAGTGAATGAGTAATCAAGTGGATTTTCTAGACAAAAATGTGTCATTTTACCTGCCTAGTCAGAAAAACAAAATGGATCTTCCTGGCAATAGGGAATTCTCTTATTTTTTTTATTTCAAAAATTGCTAGACATTTATATACTGTAAGATCCATATCTACGGAATACATTCATTTTTGGCATTATTATATACTTTTGGGGAAAAACTATTTCTCTTCTAAATTTGACAATTTATAGTAAGAACATATTATCCTTCTCTGTGGTAACTTGTTTTAAAGGGATTTCAATTATCTCTTCAGCAAGTACATTTGAAAAGTACACTCTATAGGCGAGTTCGGATAGTCAGGGGCTGGAGCGGGACAAAAGCTGAGTTTTTTAGGGTGCTTTTAAATGACATTTAAGCGTGTTAAACTGTCACTAATCGGACTAAACCGAACGCTAGAAGGGTCGTTTGGAGTAAAAAGTGTTAAAGGAGTTAAAGGAACTTGGCAGACCGAACGCAATGTAAATATTATTTAACATCCTTTGCTTCATTCTACGTAAAGTTTTGTGATGGAGACATCAAAATTTTACATTTTCAAAATTAATTTTCTCAGTTATGGTTGCACCAAATTTAAAAAACTTTATATTGCTGAAGAGAGAATTAAAATCCCTTTCAAACAAGGTACCGAATCCCTTTCTTATTAAAAGTTTTCGAGGAGGTGTAACAGGAGGTAATATTTTCGTACTATAAATTGTCAAATTAAGAATAGAAATCGACGTGTTTCACGTTTTTCCCAAAAGTACATAATAACGATAAAAATTAATTTATTCCATTCATATGAACTGAACTGTATAAATATAGACAGATAAAAGCTCTTTGGTATGTGTGTCACAAGTTTTTATTTACTACTGTAACGCCACTGATTTTAACTCTTTAAAAAATATTCTTTTCGTTTCCCGACTATAGTCTAAAGAAGAAAAAAGTGCAGTAATTTAATTTGCAGAACGTAGTACAGGTTCAAGAGGTAGACATTTTATTTATACCTCATCCTTTAATGCTTATTTGTAGAAAAAATGAAAATTTTAATACATCTGATCGGCCTAATATAAGTTTACGTTTACTTTAAATTATGTTTTCATGGGTTTTACTGCAATAAACAATTTCTTTTGACAGATAAGTCAAACTTTATTTATTCATTCATTCTGGGATAAAGTGCTACCCCGGGTACTAGTTTAAATTTGTTTTATTTACTTCCGAATCACTAATTTAAGTAAACCGC